TTTAAAAGATGGATTTATTAATAGATTTTTAACTTTAAAATTAAAAACTGTAGGAATAGAGATGTATGAAACAATCTATCCACTAAGAATATTTTGAAAAATCATATATAAATTAGACAATACAATAGTTTCAAAAATATAACATAGAATAATAGAGGCCGATAAATTCGAACCAATAACTGGAATATCCATTAATAAAATAATGTCTAAAAGAACAAATCCTAGTGAAATCAAATTAAAACAAAATTGGATAATAAGTTTTAATAATCCAATAGGTATTACAAAAAAACAAAATATAATAAAAATTGATAATGAAGAAAATATTAAAATAGAAGCTCTAGGTGCGTCTACGTCTGAAAATAATGAAGCTAGTGATAACACAAGTGTAATTTCCGATAGTCATCTCATGGATACCTATAACACCTGAAAGACCGTCAATTAACAATTCTAGTATATTATCTGGAAGAAATTCAACAAGCAAAAAAATAGTAGGTTATAGTACTACTAGTTTGCCGGTGTATAAAGATGAAGAAAATTTAATGGGATGGACTAAAGAAGATAAGGAAGAGACACAAAGAGAATATGATAAATTTGTCAATAGATATAATATTGTGTGGGTCTCACACCTATGTGAGACATTTGGTAAAACTTTTAGTAGAATTTTTGAGGCCTCTAACATTACTCAATAAGAAAAGAAATGACCAAAATAAAATGTGAATTGCATACACAAATGTAAATAGTAGATGTATTCCTATTACAATATGTATCGAAGGATTTAATAATTATGAATCATATGCATATTTAGATAGTGGTTGTTCAATATGCTTTGGGAAAAGGAAATTCTTTTCCGAATATACGTGGACAAAGCAAAATCAACCATTAATAGTTAGAATCGCAAATAATAGTACAATGGTTCATAAAGAAGCCATAGAAAATTTAGTAGTCCAAATTCAATCGGTAAGTTTTGTCATTCCAAAATCATGGATAACCAATCAACCATCACATGATTTAATCATAAACAATTTCCAACGATTATATAGTCCTTGTACACTAACCTTACATTATGTTATATTTACAATAAATAATCAACCAGTCGAAGTTCAAAAGTTAAAAACTGCAATAACACATTAAACAATTAATTTCATTAATTATTAACCAATCATGAAACTACATTAATTATTAACGAGCTTGGTATTAAAGAACTCGCTATTATAGAGGAAATTCAAAAAAGAAAAGAACAGAAAGGTGCAAGGAATTATACGACCATAATCCACTAAAATATTGGTATAAAGATAAAAGTATAGCTAAATAGAGTCAGAAGATCCAAATATGATAATTCGAGTGAAGCAAATGATTATACTTATAATGATATAAAAGAGTTTAAAATTGAAATAGAAGACCTTAAAACAAACGGATTAATTAGAGATTGTTATAGCCCTCATAGTAATATAGTTTTTATAGTAAGAAATCATGCTGAAATGAAAAGGAGAAAAGCTAAAATGGTAATAAATTATAAAAAATTAAACAAAAATACCAAAAAAGAAAGTTATTTTATTCCTAATAAGCAAGGCATTTTTAATAAAATATTTGATTCTCGAAAACAGATTGCAAAAACGGTTATCACCAAATAAAAATGGACAAAGAAAGTATTCTTTGGATAGACTTTAGCACACCACAAGGTCACTATGAATGGCCAAACTACCATTTGGATTAAAAAATGCTCCACAAATATTTCAAAGAATAATGGATAATATATTTAAGGAATTAAGTAATATTTGTCTTGTATATATAGATGATATCTTAATATTTTCTAGAACGATTGAGCAACAGATAAATATGAGAAGCACAAAATAGTATTAGGAGAAAAGAAATGTATCTAAGCTAAAAGAGAAATAGAATTTCTTGGATTAGATATAAAAGTAGGATCAATAAAAATGTAAAGTTGTGTGCACTACAACAAATGACACTTTTGGCGACTAAATTTTTAGTGCCAAAAGTTAGTTTTTAGTCACCAAAACTTTTTTGCGATTAAAATTTTTGGTCGCTAGATTAGTCATTGAATAATTCTCGCGAATGGTAATTGGCAACTGAAAATAGTTTAGTCGCTGAAAGTCCTCAATTGTAGACTAATTTTTTAATTGCCAAAAACTTTGAAAAAAAACTAATATCGCATTTCAGCGACTAAAACATTTAGTTGCAAAAAACTGAAATTATTTAGGACGACTAAAGTTTTAGTCGCCAATTTTTTTTTTTGCTCATCTCATTTGTTTTAGCTACTAAACGTTTTAGTCACCTAAAGTTTGAATTTTATTTTTTTTTTGGATACTAAAGTTTTAGTTGCCAAATTTTTTTTTTAGCCCCTAAAGTCTTAGTCGGCTAAAGTTTGCTTTTTTTATGGCTACTAAATATTTAGGCGCCAAAAAAAAAATCATTTTATTATTTTTTAGTTACTAACTATTTAGTTGCTAAAAATATTTACTTTCTTTTTGGCTATCAATTGTTTAGTTGCCAAAAACATGATTTTATATATATATTTTTATTAATTTGTCCACAACCTATATATATTCCGTGCAACATATACCATGTATATCAACAAAACAATACATATATTATCAATCATTCCACAATTTGCATCCATTTCACTTCTAACCATCCAAAAAAGAATAACTTTTACTGTCAAATTCCATACAAACTAAGTATATTCCAACCTAAAATAATGAGTAAATTACACTAAGCACATGAGAATTATATAATACAATATGTATGTTCGCATGGTAAAAATTGGGAAGAAAGTAGAGTTTTTGAAATTAAAAAAAAAATGCAACAAAAAAAATCATATAGAAAGAAAAATGAATAGACAAAATACTGTATTATCGTGAAAAATTGAGTTTCGTGATTCCAATTTATAAAAAGTCCTACTCTCTCTATCCCAAAATACTAGTCTCTTTTGAGGAATCTAACTTTTTTTGGTAGTACAATTATTACATTTAAAAAAAAAAAAATTTGATTTTTCAAAATTACCCTTTGATAGTACATTTTTTTGGGAAATATCAATTGTCATAATTGTACTTTTTGTATTGTTAATGACTTTAAAAGAAGGGCAAAATAGAAAATTCATATTATTTTAGTCCTTGATTTTTGAAAATAGACTAATATTTTAGGACAATGAATAATGGAATAAGGGACTAATATTTTGGGTCTGAGGGAGTAGTTCATCTTCTTAATTGTTTACAAACTGCGTTTTGTTTTAGCCTATTACAGTCCTATTTTGATATAAAATTTTGGATAAAGTGTGTATTAGTAGAAAATGTAGATGCGTTTCCTTTCTTACCCTAACGTCGAAATGACATTCTTATCACATGATTAGATTCTGTTAAACAAATAAACAATTGAGTAACAGAAATGGGACATCGATACTTGTGTAAGGACCAAACTGAAATTTTATCAAAAGTACAGGGGGTTAATTCTCACAATTTCATGTGCAGGGACCAAAGTGAAATTTGACTAAAAGTACAAAAGGTTAGTTGTCATGATTTCATATATAGGGGGCAAAATGAGATTTGATGCAAAGTACAGGGGTGCAAAATGTAATTTACCGTAAAATAAAAATTCCATACAAAATAAAGAATCATACGAAAACCATGTCCTCTCATTTCTCTTTTCGGCAATCTCCTCTTCTATACGATGGACTTCGGCTCTTTTCCAAAAATACGTAAGCCATGCCTATCCAAGTTAAAAGTGACACAAACAAGAATAACACTACCAAGATTAGACATATCAGTTTAACGTAAAAATCAATTGTGCAAAAATAATATAAAATTTGAAATCATGCAAAATACTAAATTGAGGTCATTGTTTGACCAAGAATTCTTAAACTATGTAGTTCTAACTTGTACACGAAATTCTATAGAGGCAACGGATGAAAATAGAGATGAAAAGAAAAGTGACGATCTTCAAATGTAACACATCTCTTCATGGCAAGGCATGCTAAGTGTCCAAATCATTGACAAAGCTAGAGATGGATAGAAAGATGTAGAGTGGAACTCAGTATTTGTGTTTCAGAATTTTACTTGGTTCTGATTCTCAATTAGGATTCAAATTACTTCTGTCATTCATAATTGGGAAGAAATGAGGTTGTTTCTATACTTAGTAAACAAAATGATCTCACACAGAAACAATATACTATGAGGAAGCACAATAATTAGAATTCTCAACCACTTGAAATATGTACTTCAGCGAGCAACCGGAGGAGTGTGACATATATAAATTAGCATGACTCATACAAAAAATAGTGAGACATAATACCAAACCTTTTTAAAAAGAACAGCTTCAGACTCTTCCTGGCTCAGTTCTACAGGGGAACAAAGACTTCAAACTTAATACTCATTCATCATGGATGATCCATAATTCTATCAATAGCAAAGTTTTAATGCATTCTCAAATTTTGAGACTGCCTAATAACAGAATAAGATGGAACAAAAATAGAAATCAGGGCATTCTGTAAGTTAAGCGTCCAGTAATATACATATTATCACAAAAAAACATCAAAAAAAATATTCAAGCTTGCTCAAAGTAGTTTCATTAGTGTCCAGATTAGCAGGAACATGCCCTGAAATAGTGAAAGACTTGCAAGTTAAAGAAACACATTCATGTCCATATCAAGACAGAAAAAGAGTGAAACAGAAAGAACTATTATATGATATCACCAAGAGTGAAGCAAAACTATGAAAAAGACAAGCTTGGAATGCTACAATTTTTTGGTAGGGACATTTTCTTATTCGTCTGAGGTGATTGTTAAAACAAATTCTACCAGTAGCTTGTTCTAACACTTTTGAAAATGAAAATCTCTTAACCGAGTGTTATACCTTGCAAAACTTAATGGTAATAGTACTTTTCGGGGAATAATTTCCAGAAAATAAGCTATAGCCTATAGTTTATACATACAACCATATATGCTAAAATTAAGTCATCTCATGTCAATAAAGCCATAATTCCAATGTTCTGGGATTGGCTAACATGCTCAAATGATAAAAACATATTATGCACAACATGAAAATGAGATTGACAAGAGGCTGCTGATTTGGACACCAATTCTGATAAAAGGGCAACTCCAGTCAAGAAAAATTGAAACCATGTATTATTTGAATTGTGCAACACAAAAGTCTATATGGGATAATGATGACTTTTCGGTGCCTCACTTAAGAGAGGACTTATATTCATAAAAATTAGACAACTGTAGTGGTTTCAAATAGAAACCAGAAACTGCGAGGGAGTTTAACAATTAAAGCAGGTATCAACCATCAAGCCCGTCAACAGCGCGTATAAGACAAACTCAAACCAGATAGTCGAACTGCATTTGCATGCCGCTGCTGTGCCAGTGCAAGCACGATGGTATCCTCAACCTTGGAAAAGGCAACCATAGAACATGTAAGTAGGTATAGCGACAATTCCAAGAAAAAAATACTACAGTATCATAAACACAACTAAAAAGCAAGTGGGGCCTGGTTTAAAGAACCAAAATTATTGAAGAGCACTAAGAGTGAAGGACAAAAGTGAAACAAAATTTGACCTTATACTTCAAAAGGAAATGCAAGATTCTTCAAGCCCATTTCAACTGAAAGCATACTCTCTATATTTCCTTCTCCAGCTACACATCTGATCATCAAGAGCAATTACCTGAATAAGAATGATGTGATGAGAAGAGGAAGATATAATGATACAGAGTACTTTAAGTTTACCAAAATTCAAATGCACTCCAAATTGTTATCAATTCATATGAAATCTTGCAACAAGAGAAATGTGATGTAGAGATTAAACCAAACTCAATAACAAAAACAACAAGAAGAAACAGAGTACTCCAAATTGTTTCACAAAATCCACATACAATCCAAATTGTAATCAAATATCAATTAATATGAAATCTTGCAACAAGAGATATGGGATGCAAAGATAAACCAACCTAGAGAGTTGCCTAATATTTTGCAGCATCTTTGTTTTCCGAAGTCGATCTACCCTCCAAAGCTGACAATGGTTTTTTCAAAATGGGCTTTTTTTAGCTGAAGTTGAAGAAGCTTCAGATGCAGCAAATGCTTCTTCCCGTGTCACCCACTTGCCTGTTTCATTTCATGCAACAAATGAACTCAATTACACATATCTACACTTCAATATAAAACAAAACAAAAAATAAATTACTTTCAGCATTCATGAGACAAGCAAACTCAGGACCATTTTGCTTTGTAAACCACAAAAGCTCCAATACTAACCTCCCTCTACTTTTCAACTAGGTAAGGAATCCCATGTCCCCACTATAATGTCTACTACCAAACCAAAGAGATGAAACCTGCTCCAAAGGCCTTTTTGCCTATAGGTGTTACTTTTTGACCTCACAACCAAACAGGGAACTTAGTTGGAGAGCACGTAGCAAAATAGATTAAGCCAGCACCAGTGCACAAAAAGACAAGAAATTCCGCAGTGGCTAGTCCACCCCAGGGGCACTCCGATAATCAAGTCAGTCAACTTATCTATCAAAGATATCAAATAAGTACTCAATGCACAAGTCAAAGCGTACCTTAGACCTACGTGGATGCCTCACTTTTATAATGATCAATGTCTAACTTCTCCTAGAAGTCTTACTTTATGGGACTCTTTCCTTTACAAGACAAACATTTATCATAACTCACACTATTCAGATTAAGATGAACTTTCTCAAAAATCTCATCTCTATCCAAATTGGTAGTTTGATGTCATCTAGGACTCTTGTCCTCTATTCGAATATCTCGGATTCAGATATGATTACATCATATCTCGGCGACTTGGTCCATCCATGTAGCACCTAGGCTAACAACCTCGGCCATGTGGACAACCCAAAAACTATGTCCCCAACATGAGGTGATAGAACCTATATTGTCTGAACTTCCAACATGTCAGCTAAACAACATGCTAGAAATACTCCTTAGACTAAGATCATGAATCATCGGCTTTATGAAACAAGGACTCAAATGTCCACTCGTCAAAAACCAAGAACCAAGAATCAAGATGATCCTTCTCATCCTCCTTGCCAGATGTTGGCCATCTATTCTTACTAAGTTCTCACAGACGGTGCCAAATTGTGGGTGTTGATTTCCGACCACACAACCAAACAGAGAACTTAGCTGGAGAGCACGAGATAGAATAGATTAAGTCAACCACCTACCAACAAGAAGATGAGAATATCGCGGTGGTTCGTCCACTCGGGGGCACTTCGATGATCAAGTCAGTCAAACAATCTCTCAAAGATGTCACACAAGTACTCAATGCACAGGAAAAAATATCTCAAATAAAAGCATACCTTAAACTCATGGGGGTGTCTTACTTTTATAATGATCAGTGTCCAACTTTCCCTAGAAGTCTTACTTCATGGGACTCTATCCTTTACAAGGATAACATCTATCACAACTCACATTATTCAAATTAAGATGAACTTCCTCAAGAATCCCATCTCTATCCAAATAGGTAGCTTGATGTCATCTAAGATTCTTGTCCTCTATCCGAATGTCTGAGATTCTGATGTGGTAGCACCGTATCTCTGCAACTTAGTTCATTTACATGGCACCTTGGCTAACAACCTTGACCACGTGAACAACCCTAAAAATATGTCTCCACAAAAGCCATATATATAAAACTATGCATCAAGCAATGAGAATGTTGTTATGGGAGCTATTTGATGTAAAACCCACCTTATGTGCTTTATAAACACAATGTAGAGTATGCTTTTTCCAGGTTTCAAGGTAACAAACTTAATGTTGGTTTCTTTTTATCCCAAAACCTTCTGTTACATTTTTGTCATAAAAAAAACTTGAAACAATCAGGGGCTACGGCACATTGAACAGAGAGGGTTCATGTGAACCCACTGAAATTTGCAAAATGAGTATTAGATATGTGAAGTTTTACCAACAAAAGTGAGCAATGTTGTTAATGAACCCTCTTATTTTATTCTTTGAACCCTGTATTTCTTGAGAATTCTCAAAATCTTTAAGTAATGTTAAATTCATTGAAATAAAATAATTATTTCATTAAAATATTTATTTACATGTTTGATTGACTAAAAAATAATTAAAAATACACTGTAAATAGAATCACCATTCACTATTGTAAAAGAATTATCATTCCATAGAGAAACTTAATGCATGATAATTCCATTCCATTCTATCTCAATCCAGTAAACCAAATAAAACATAACTTGTATAAAAAACACAATTACATAGTTTTTATAATACTATGTTATATTATTTGGGGTAATGCCTGTATAAATTAATAAATCTTATAGGTTTTTTTACTCATTGCACTTTTTATATCATTAAAGTAGGTCTTAATTCAGTTTTTAAAATTTTATTATTGAATTTGAATTTGAATAATTTGAACCCTATACTTTTAGTTTTATTACAATATTATTATTCCATCAGGCGCCACTAACATTTTGAATAGAAAAATAACTAGTGAAAAACTAGAAGGACCAGTGTAGAAATCAAAAAAAAAAAAAAAAATCATAGGGACCACCAATGCAATTTATTCATTTTTTATTGTGTGAAAATTGCTAAAAATTCCATGCGAGTTGTACGTGGTATTTTTTCTGTTTAAAATTCTAATTGTATGTGATGAAAGAATCACATTATAAAAAAATTAAAAATGTAAGGTTTAACTAAAAACTTGAAGATTTAAAATGAAATTTCACAGAGGGACCAACCTTGTAATTTACCTTTATTTATAAATAAATAAAAAATTAATGATGAGTATTTTCAATTTTTTAATTGTTCTTCATCAAGAAAATATTGAAAATAATACTAAAAAAATATTGAAATGACACCACTCATGAAAATTTATAGAGCCACCAATGGAAACAATAATTACTAAACCTTTCTAGTTGTCAAAAACTTGAGATTTTAAGAAAAATGCTACACAAACAAATTATTTTTCACAAACTTGTGTGACGTAAAGTGATACAATTTAAGTATTTGAAATGAAATTGTTGAAAATTAATGTCGAAAATTACATCGATAGTCTCTATATTTTATTAATATTATGTCATTTTTGTCATTAAATTTTCAATTAACTTAATTTTGACCTTTAATTTTAAATTTTGTATCAATTTAGTCTATTTGATAAAGCTATTAGAATTTTTGACAGAAAACAATCATTGAGTTAGTTAAGATTAATTCATTGACTTAAATAAATTTATAATTTTGCTTCTAAAACATGACCTATGCTGCACATGAACACATTTTTCATAAAAAAATGTTATAACAATTTTAATGAATTGGACTAAATTGAGACAAAATCATAAATTCAGAGCCAAAATCGAATCAATTGAAACTATAAAAATCAAAATGAAACAAAGATCAAAATATAGAAATTACCAATGTAATTTACCCAATTATATAGAAATAACTCAAGTGTTATATCAGTTTGTAAAAATATATATATAGAATACTTGGTGGTTAATAGACTATAAGCCATCACATGAGATGCTACCTAATTGTAGTCAGCCTTAATTTTAAATGACATCAAATATTAAGTCCATCAAGTGAATTTGGGCTTAGTAACCACTCTCTGCAAATTACTTCTGAGGTTTAGGTCCATCAAGTAAATTTGGGTTCAGCAATTGTTGTTTGAAAGAACAGCAAAAGTAAGGTTCATGTTCCTACTTTGGGCTTCATAATGTCTTAATTATCAATAAAGTTTTGCAAAATTCACACCAAAGAGCCCCTCCAGTCTGCTGTTTGGGCACGTAGGGTTCACCACGGGTCTCGTTTCATTTATTCGAACCGTTCATTTTGTCGGGTATTTCATATATTTCATCCACACACAAAATTAGGTCAATCCGATAAATATAGCTTGTTCAATTTATTGTCACCAAAAAAATATATGGTTTTTTTTTTTAAAACACAATTGTCCCCTTTTTTTTTGGGTGAAAAACGTAATAAATTGAATATATTACGATTATGATATTGACCTAATTTTTTGTGTAAATGAAATATACAAAATATCTAACAAAATAAACGATTCAAATTATCAAAACGGAGCCTGTAATGAGCTCCAAAGGTTCAAACACTCCCTCCAGTCTAGAGGGAATCTGCCTCTTCTAAATATATGTACTGCATATAAGCCCATCAGACAGATGTGTCATGAAGGCCACTCAACAGTACTACTAATCGGAATTGTTTATTAGTTGAAACGAGGGTAAATTACATTTCTAATCCTATAATTTGACTTAAATTTCACTGTGATCCTTTTAAATCTAGTTTTAATTTGACTCTTTTATTAAAGTTAGAAGTTAAAATTAACAATTTTAGAATGCTTATTAAACTCCTAAGATGTCCACTTATAAGAAATTAACAGAAATTTAAACTGAATGACCAAAGTGAAAATGAACTTAAAGTATAAAGATTAAATTATTCAAATTAAAACAATAGTGATAAAATGAAATTTAAGTCAAATTATAAGGGTGAAAGTGTAATTTACACTAGAAATTATTTACATCATATCATCAGCAGTCTCAACAACCTTTGCTAACAGCTAATGTGATGTCAAATTTATACATTAGAGTTATGCTCGAGTTAACCATTTTTTATTTTTGGTTAATTTTATTTATTTGGTCTAAAGCTGCATTTTTCCAAAGACTTGGTGAAAAAGGTTCTATTTTGATTTTTGGCCAAGACCTCAAGAATGTTTGAGCCGCTACTGCTTAAGAGGCTATACACAAATTCATAAAACAAAAGAGAGATGTGCTTGGTTACACTGGCAATAGCTTAAAACTTTCAAATTTTGCAGGGCCAAGCCTGAGACAGTGCATAATGTTAGTAAGGAAACAACTTGCATTGGCTTCTGGTTTTCTTTATCTTAAATTTGGCATCTTTCGTTGTGTTTTAGCTTTTTCCGGTTACGTTTGGTTTGGTTTGGTTTTGAAAGATAAATTTTTGAAAAAAAATTTCAAAATTTAAAATTTTATTTAGTTAGATATTTTGAAAATAATTTTGTATTTTTGTAGTTGTTCTGTAGTTTGGAATTTTGTAATTTGGATGTAATTTGTTTATAGTTGAATAGATAGGTATGAGAGAAAAAGTGATTAGCTAATGTGTAGAATGCAAGAGAACAAAAGGAGCGAGGAGATTGAAAAAATTGTAAACCAAACAAATTATAATTTTTGAGCTCTCAAAAATTAATTTCAAAAATTGAAAAAAAGGTGTATGGTTTTCAAAAATTATAAATTAATATACTAAAAATATGATAAATAAAAAATACACTATTTTTTTTAATATAATTTTTCATTTTTTGAGAACACAAAAAAAAAAAATTTAGGATTTTTTTAAAAATAATTTCTATTTTTAAAAAAAAAAATTAAAATTGTTTATGAAATTGAAACCAAAGATAACCAGAGTTGTTTTCCTATCTGGTGAATTAGTCCAATATAGGACAAAACAAGTATGTAATTTGCATCACTTTGATACTGTTGTCAATTTTGTTTATAAAATTTTTAATTCGATCCAATTTCAAGTGAACAGTCTAAATAATTAATAAAATACACATATTGACCGTAAAGTTTTAAAATTTGCCAATTTAATTCCAAAACATTGATGAAGAAGATAAAACATAACTTTGCAATATTGAGGGAAGAAATTGACAATTAAATTTTAGAGACCAATAAAGTGTTTAGCCAAAATAAATAAATAAATAGAGACCAAAATAACACATGTATACTTTAGAGACCATACTTGAAATTTATAATTATTTCATTTACAATTTAAATGGCAGTTTAGAATTAAACTAATTTGCATCAAATTAAGAACTTCAAAAACAAATCTAACAAAATTAAAATTTGAAGGACTAAAAAAAAAAACAAAATATTTTTTTAAAAAAAATAAAGGAATAAAATAACACACAAGACATACTTTATACACCATAAATATATTTTATCATATATATAAGGTAGATTACACGCTCCATGAATATCAAATACTTATATTAGAATCCCTTGAGAATAAAACTTGACCCATTTCATTATTGAGTCATTGAAAAAAAAAATATTCAGTAATTTTGAAACACCACGTAACATTGTGTTGAAAAAATGATTTTGAAGCCATAAATTTTTGTAAAGTTCGAGCTAAATTTTGGGTAGGCTCCATACATCCAATTTAATGGATCAAAGGGAAGTGCACCATTTCAGCATAGTTGAAACAAAACTAGAAAAGCTTGTCCCACATTAGGTAAGGAAGGAACTAATGTGACGCTTATATACTCTGGGTTTATACTTGAGTTTGAACCTTGGGACACCCAAGTTTTGTAAGGAGAACCTAGCCCAAATATAGTCTACCACAAGCGATGTCACCCCAAACCAATCCGAGCCAACTGTAATTCTACCCAAGTTTTTTTCTTTTCTTCCATATTTAACCAAATATTCCTCGATTTTCAATTATTTTTCTTTTCATATCCACATTTAAACCACTTAAGAGTTTGTCATACCAACCCCAAGACAAGTTAAGTGGCAAGTTCAGTTCATATCCACATTTAAACCAATTAAAAGTTGGTCAAACCAACCCCAAGCAATAAGCTAAGTGGCAAGTTAAGTCCTACTAAGCACCATAAAAACCATTCCTCACAAGTTCAAATCGCACGAAACACTTTGACACCCTTTGGGACCAACCGCAGAACAAGTGTCCTAATTACACTATATATGTATGCAAAGATTATTAGGCAAAGCTCAAAATACCATTCATTACCAAACCCTAGGGGTCAAACGAATCCAAATTTCAGTAACATATTGCAAAAATACAAAGAAATTCAAAACCCTCACCCTAGAACAAAGATCTATGGGGGTCGGATTTAATGGGGCTGACATGCAAACCTTACTAATGCAACTCTCAACACTGCACAATGACTGCTGAATCACCATTGTCATTTTTATTAGCTGAAGATTAGGACTAAGGCTTCAGTAAACTCACAAGTTCATACATGGACTACACTTAATATCCTGCTACATGTCCAATTCCATCATCACATTCTTCCCAAACGTCATCCATCTCAACCAACCCAAAACAAATTTATTCTTCTAGTTCAGGCCAGCACTCATGTCTTCTTACAGTTTTCGTAAATCGTTAGAGTTGCATACAAGCATCGCACTAACTACTGCAATCTACCAAATCTCGACAATTATCAACAGAATTTATATGGCATCGACATATTGGCATTTGGCAAACTTTATCAGCACATAGGGAAGTTCCCAGTACACAGCAATCCACACCCACACACAGCTAATGTCATTTAAAATCAATCATGGTTTAGAGCTATACACAATTCTGCGCATTAATATCTAATGGTAGAAAGAGAAAGGGGTGAGAGAATAGGGTTTGGATACAAGTTATTTATGGCGAAAGCAAAGATAATGGAAACCTGCAATGGATCATTATTGTGTCGCTTGAAGTGTTATCTGATTGCTCCAAGCAAATTGGCACCATCCAGCTTTGCACCTTCCAAATGCTGAAAGCAACACCACAAAATATAATTACAAAATGAAGCCAGGTGAATTCATTAGGACAGGGGAAAGGAAAAAGATCAGACAAATCCAATAAGACAAGAAACGAAAACTAGCCCCCAAAATGAAAACACAGATTGGGCTTTTTCAAGCATTGTTACAATTCATGTGATTCTTGAAACTATTGGATCCACCAGATCTCTATCCAATTTTACATTTTTTTGTAAAAATGTCACAATACAACTTCTAAGAGTCAGCAAGAAAATAATCAACACCATGCATGAGTTGTTGCTATTTTGGCGATCAAAATGTATAGCAGCAAAAATTATCTAATAAGTCAGCCTAATATCCTACGTGTTGTACCCTTCCAATTGTATAAGACCATGTAACTAGTTTCTCCTACTTTTTCTCCTACATTTTAGTCAAAATGATTTGTGTGCCCCCTTGCTATAAGGTAGGCACACAGCCACGGGGTAAGTGATACAGACTTACTACATAGCTTCTCATATAATAGGATCTAATAAGATCCATTAGTTTCAGTCGGTCAAACACAGAGGACCCACAAAAAAAAAAAATTGTTTTTAAACAATAAATATACATACATTTTAGGGTTTTTAGGTTTATTTTTCGAATGTCAAGAGAGAATAAATTATGGTTTTAAATATTTGGGGAAATTACATTTAAAAAGAATTAAATTTGACCCTTACAACAAATTAAACCTTGGATTTTTAATTTTTTCAAATAAAACTCAAATTTTTTAAATTACACAATTCCAACTCTGTGTCTATTCCCGTTAATTTATTTAATTGAAATATTTTTGGCAGGACATGTGGCACTCTCATTCATTCTTTCAAGTGAATGTTAATCCTAACTTTGAACTTTCTACACCAAATCATCATCACCATTTTTATCAATCTAGCTGGTCAAAACCATCCATCATCCACTATACCATGAAGTTGACCATAGAACACTTCCCCCTTCTCCCATTTACGACCATCTGCTTTGCTCCTACTCCGGTGCTTCCTCCCCCTCCCCCTCCCCTTCCCCTTCCCCTTCCATTTACAACATCCTTTCAATAAATTTGGGACCCTATTCAAGATCCAACATATTCAAGATTGCGATCCCCATTCAAGTGATTTTTGTTTTGTGCGTTGGAGCAATGAGGTGGGATTTTTGTCGAGATCCTCTCCCAACGACTGTGTCATTTTTGTGTGTTTGTGTGAAATTTTTGTGCAATTGGAAAAATAAGGTGGGGTGGCGGAAGGGGGAAGGGTGTGGCAATGTGGTGAGAGCAATGTGTGTAGAATCGAGATTGGAAAGACGAGGGGGGGAGGTTTTTTTTCTTTGCCAACTTCCCTTGTGTTTTCATGTCTTTTGGAAACAAGTTTGAATCCCAAATTCAACTTTTCCATTTCGCAATTAGTTTCCACAATATAAAAAATAAAAAGTATGGTGAAGGGTGATGTGATGGCAACTTTCAAGGCTTTTTACCAATCTGGTCAATTTGAAAAAAGTTTTAATGCGACTTTTTTGGCTTTGATTCCGAAGAAAGGAGGGGCTGAGGATGTTCGTGATTTCCGGCCTATTAGTTTGTTGGGCAGTGTGTACAAAATTTTAGCTAAAGTTCTTGCTAATAGACTTAGAGGGATTTTAAAGGCTGTGGTATCTGAGTCTCAGAATGCATTTGTTGGAGGCAGGCAGATTTTGGATGCTATGTTGGTTGCCAATGTGTGTGGATTCTCAGATTCGACAACAATGCCCCGGTCTGATTTACAAATTGGATATTGAGAAGGCATATGACAACGTTAATTGAAATTTTCTCATGTACATGTTGGATCGGATGGGTTTTGGGGATACTTGGTGCCATTGGATTAAGTTCTATGTTTCGACTATGCGGATGTCTGTCTTGATTAATGGATCTCCAGCAGGTTTTTTTCCGACGTATCGGGGTCGTCGCCAGGGGGATCCGTTGTCACCTCTGTTATTTATTTTAGTGATGGAGGCGTTGAGTAGATTGTTGGATAGAGCTGTGCGTGGGGGTCTCCTAGGGGGCTTTGCTGTGGGATCGTTGTCTGGGGTGTCTCTTATTGTATCTCATTTATTATATGCGGATGACGCTCTGATCTTTTACGGGGCTGATGTCGAGCAGGTGGGTTATTTGCATTGTGTGTTGTTATGTTTTGAGGCAGTATCAGGCTTACGGGTTAATTTGCCGAAGTTGGAGCTTATTCCAGTTGGGGAGGTTGAACGGTTACCAGTTTTAGCTGCTGTCTTGGGGTGTAGGACGTCAGTTTTGCCGGTTAGTTATTTGGGTTTGTCGTTAGGTGCCTCTTTCAAGGTGAAAGGGGTGTGGGATGGGTGGTGGAGCGTGTACAGCGCCGTCTGGCGGGTTGGAAGAGGCAGTATTTGTCTAAGGGCAGTCGGTTGACGTTGATTAAAAGTGTGTTGAGTAGTATTCCGACTTATTTTATGTCGGTCCATGTTCTTCCTGTATCAGTCGCGCATCGTTTGGAGAAGCTTCAGAGGGATTTTCTGTGGGGTAGTAGTACTGATGAATTTAGGTATCATTTGGTTGAGTGGGGGAGGATTTGTCAACCTAAGCATGCAGGGGGGTTGGGGGTGACGAGGTTGGTGCCTTTTAATCGGGCTTTGTTAGGGAAATGGTTGTGGCGGTTTGCCTTGGAGGCAGACAAGTTTTTGTGGAGGGTGGTGGTTTCTAGGTATGGGGTGGGAAGGGGGAATTGGATTTCGGGGGATGTGCTCACTACGCATGGCTATGGGCTTTGGAAAGGGATTTGGATGGGTCGGGAGGAGTTTTGGAGGTGGGTAGTGTTTCGGGTGGGCAATGGGTTGCGGGTGCGGTTTTGGAAGGATCAGTGGTGTGAGGGGGAGTCTCTGGAGGTCCGTTTTCCGTTGATTTTTCATATTGTGATTGATCGGAAGGCGCGGTGGCATCTTATTGAGGGCGTGGTGATGTGGTGGTGTGGGATATTCAGTTGCGGCGTGCGGTGCATGATTGGAAGGTTGCTCAGTTGGTAGAGTTGTGGGGTGTTTTATATGGGTTGGGTATAAATAGGGTGGATGTTATGGAGTGGTCTGGAGTGGGGGCAAAAAGGAGGTTTTCAGTTGCATCTTTCTATAAATGTTTGGTGGGGGATGATGGTTTTCCTTCTCCTTGGAAGAGTGTTTGGTTACCGAGTGTTCCGTCTAAGGTGGTTTTCTTTATGTAGACGGTCGCTTTAGGCCAGAATCTTACTTTGGACAACTTAATGAGGCATGGTCATGTTTTAATGAATCGGTGTTGCATGTGTTTTCGTGCTGCTGAGTCGGTGAATCATTTGTTTCTTCACTGTTTCGTGACTTCCCAATTGTGGAGTTTTATTTGTTCTTTTTTTGGTATTGCTTGGGTTCAACCTAAGGGGGTGTTGGATATGCTTTGGGCGTGGTGGGGTGCTAGGTTTGGGCGTCGCCGGCGGCGGATTTGGGCGTTGGCGCCGTTTTGTTTGATGTGGCTTGTTTGGTTGGAGCGGAATCGGCGTACTTTTTTAGACGTTGCTCATGGGGTTGTTTGGTTACAAAATCATCTTTTAGTGGTTATGTATAGTTGGGTGGAGAGGAAGGTTGATCCGGATTTATTTGTTTTTTTGGATTTTCTAGAAGATGTGATTGGTTAGCTTTGTTTATGATTAGTTTTCCCTAATAAAAGATGGTTTCTCTGTATTTGTTTGCATCAGCTTGATGCGTTTTTAATAAAAGTTTGGTTTTATTTATCAAAAAAATAAAAAATAAAAAGTAACTGAATCTCTTCTACCTTTTGTTACCAGACTTTCTAAAAACAAAAACAGATATTTCACCAAAGGGACCTAAAATACCTCTTTATAATGCAATCTCTCTCTTCTCTAGAACCTTGTTAATGTCTTTTTTGGGTCTTAGTTTCTTTAATCAACATTCATTTTTTTAGTTTAAAAAAAAAAAAAAAAAAATCTCTTTTTATATGTACAATTCTCAACATATTAAACAATTCAAAGAATGAAAAGGCAGTTCCTTGCTATTCAATCTTATGCACACTCAAATACCTAAAGGCTAAAAAAATGAGAATGGTTTCTGTAATAGACATACAAATTCTTAATGTGCAATAGTTGCAGCTATACTTACGGTTTCACGAAGATTGACATGTCGTAAATAAGCTCGTTGAAGGTTTGCACCCCTCAAATTGGCATTACTCAACTTTGCACCCTGAAATAAAAATAAGCAGTACCAAAAAATGAAACAAATTCACACAAGTTATCAATCAAATAAGCTTTGTAACCTCCAGAGCCAACCCCCCACCCACACGTACACAACCACCACATTATTTTCTAATATGTACCATACTACTAGAATGGCCAAATGTGGAATGTAATTCCAATAAGGGTATATAAACAAATAATTTTCTTCATTGAATAACAGAAAAACTAAAATTACATACCAAAGGTTCCAAAATATATATTGTTTTATTTTTGTTTATTTTATATATATATATATATATATATTTATATTATTTATAGGATCATCATAAGCACTTTACAACTTTGATATATAAACGAAATACAGACAATTGAACTCCTTCACACATATTAGTTAAGTGATTTCTGCGAAGCATTTATAAAGTAAATTAAATCACCAATATGCATGGAGCAATATGATTTCCAAAAACCAGAAAGGACTCTTTTCCTCTAGTTTCTTGAATAGATAAAATAAAAAAAATTAAAAGCTTGTAAGTGCATGGGTTTTTCTTTGACACCACTGGTGTTTTGCCACTCCCCAGAGAACCACTAACCCTGGTCAGTACTTTCTACAACTTCATAACTAGACTAAACCGAACAATGTACACCTGTAACACCCCTAATATTCAAATTAAAAGAAAACTACCGTGAATCTCCATATAATTGAGGTTAAAGGAAAATATTTAGTCATTTTCAAATCTTTTACACTTCCATCCATCCATCCATCTGTTATGTGTAAACCCAATAATAAATTCATTTCTATGCAGAAATTTTTGTGAGTCAAGACAGTGACGACGAGATTTTACCTTTAAGTTGGCCCCTTCTAGATTAGCTCCTTCCAAGTTGGCATTAGTAAGATCCGCAGTCTGAAATTGAGTAAGAAAGTTTCATATATTCTTGCAACCTCCAAAACACCAAATCATGAATCTAGACAAAGAACAACTGCTACTTCGACAATATTTGGAATTCAGCAATAAGAAATTTCACACAAGAAAAATTAGCATATCATGAAACTTTCTTGTTTTTAACTTGTTAAAAAGTATATATATCAACAATGAAAATTGAACCTAAGGACTCAACCCATTATACCGTGGATTTTGTTTTGGAAAGGAAGCGGTTTGGCGTTAGATGGAGAATGTGGATTTGGGGGTGCTTGTCATCATGCAATATGGCAGTCATTGTGAATGGCAAGGCGGGGGATTTTTTTTCAAGCATCTAGAGGTCTAAGACAGGGTGATCCTTTATCACCATTTTTGTTTATTTTAGTTGCTGATGTGTTGGGTCGGATTATTGATTTAGCTAAGGATAAGGGTGTCATTGAGGGGTTTGTGGTGAGAAGGGATAGGATTGGGGTTACTCATTTATAATTTGCGGATGATACTATATTCTTCTCATCAAAGGAGGAAAGCAAGGTGGAGAGTTTGCTAATAATTCTGAGAATTTTTGAAATTGTGTCGGGCCTCAAGGTCAATCTTAGCAAGAGCAGTGTTGTGGGTATTAATTTGGACGATAGTCATGTGCATAGGGTGGCGGCTATGTTGGGATGTTCAATTGATTCCTTTCCTCTCAAATATCTGGGGCTTTCGTTGGGAGCTGATCCTAGATTGACGTCTTTTTGGGAACTTGTTCTTGTCAAAATTGAGAAAAGATTGGAGGGATGGAAGCGAGCGTTGTTGTCTAAGGGAGGGAGGGAGGTATACGTTGGTACAATCCGTATTAGGATCTGTTCCTATTTATTTCCTGTCCCTTTTCAAAATTCTGGTTAGCATTGCAAAAAAGATTGAGAAACCGATGAGGGATTTTCTCTGGGAAGGGTGTGATGAGGGTAAAGGGGTTCATTTGGTTAGGTGGGAGACTGTTTCTCCTTCTAGGGCAAAAGGTGGCTTGGCTATTGGAAACATCGTTGCTAGGAATATTGTTTTCTTGGGCAAGTGGTTATGGAGATTTCCTCTTGAAAGTGAATCGTTATGGTGTTTAGTTATTAAAAGCAAGTATGGAGTTCAATCCAATGGTAGGGATTCTAATGTGGTTAATAGAGGCAATTGTCGTTCACTGTGGAAATCCATTTCTCGTTTGTATCCTCGTGTCTAATTTTTTTTCATTCAAAGTGGAGAATGGGGAGAATGTCCGGTTTTGAGAGGATGTTTGGTTAGGGGATACTTCGTTTGCTAGATCTTTTCCCTTTCTTTACAAGTTGGCTCGTTCTCCAAATGTGTCAATAGCGTTGGTGGCTTGCTCTTCTATGGCACCCATCTCTTGGAATTTTGATCTCATTAGAAACTTGAATAATAGGGAGGCAGGGGAGTTGGCATCTTTGTTGGTAGTGCTCGAGGAGGTTTCTCTTTCTTCATCTTGTGATAGTAGGGTCTGAAATCTTGTTTTTTCAGGAGTCTTTTCATGTAAATCCTTTTTTGATAAGATTATTGATAATCCCTCAGTTCCTTTGTTCTCTTTTCATAAGAAAATTTGGAAAGTGGGTGTCCCTCATAAAGTGAAGTTTTTCATGTGGTCTTTGGCTCAAAAGGGTGTTACAACTAATGATGTTTTCCAGAAGAGAAGGCCTAATCACTTTCTATGCCTTCAATGATGTGTGATGTGCAAGAGAAATTTGGAGGCAGCGGATCATCTTTTTCTTCATTGCCCGATGGCTTTTGTATTATGGCAGCATCTTTTCAGTTTATGTGATGTGCAGTGGGTTGTTCCATGGGAGTGTATGCATATGCTTCTTATTAGGTTTGATGGGTTTGGGAGTACCAAGAAAGTCAAAACATTGTGGATAAGCATTATTTTTGCTATTTTCTGGGTTATATGGTTGGAGAGAAATGCTCGGATCTTTGAAGGCAAGGAAGTAAGTGTAGAGGCTTTGTCGGATAGGACGGAATACTTGACTTCATTTTGGGCATTTGTATCTACTCCTTTTAAAGGAATCCCTTTGTTTTTGATCTCTAGGGATTGGGCTGCTGTTTGCCATCCTTAGGGTTTCGAGTTTTGCGATTTTGTTTTGCTTTTTCTTCTTCTCTTTTCTTTCCTTGTATGAGGACTTCTTGTCCTCTTTTTCTTTTCTGTTTTAATAAAATTTTGTTGTTGCTCAAATAAAAAAGAAAGGTCGCATGTCCATATTAGACACCGACACACTTCAATCACTTCCCGACACATGTCGAATACACATTCAAATGCCTAATTGTTAAAAAAATTGAAGACTTGGACACACGTGTCTCTCACTTAAATACACATGAAACATATTATAAGTTTGAATAAAATAACTTAGATACAATGATAAATAAAAAATAATGTAAATTTATACATATTAATCCCTTCTCCTTTCAACTTTAGGCATTAGTGTCATGCTGCATGTTTCAATTATTTAAAATAAACATATGCACAACATATAATAAACTATAAAACTACGTATCTTTTTGAACAGCTATAAAACTATATATCTTGTGTGTATCCCTCACGTCTTGTGTCCTATTTTTTTCAAAATTTCTGTGTCATGTCGTGTCGCGTCGCGTCACCACATTCATGCTTCTTAGCCAATGGCTTTGTTTGGCAAGAGATTTTTTGGCTTTTTGGGGGCTAAAATCTACAAAAAAAACAAAAAAACAAAATACGCTAAAATAGCCAATAAGACAAAATGTCACATCAAACCCAAAATCATTTCACTTTTTCTCACAAACATCACATCCAACTACAAAAAAATCCAATCATCTTTCCAAACACAAAAATTTTAGCCTACTAAAATAGCTAAAAACTAAAATAACCTACTAAAATAACAAGCTTCCCAAACGAGGCCAATACCAGTCATATATATTGTTAGATTTGACCAATTGACCAAGGTCAAGTGCCAGGAAAAAATAAGGGGGAAAAAAGTAAAGAAAATTGACAGCCCATGCATGAAATAAACAAAGACTTATCACTAGCTGTTTTTGCTCTCTTATTTTAATAGCAAACTGATAGCTCATATGTTGATGCCAAATTTCTAAGAGAAAAGGGCAAGATCTAAAAATGATCGAACTGCATAATTCAAGTATTCAAAAATGCTGAACCTGTAGGTGCGCAGAACGCAGGTCTGCCCCACAGAAGCTACAATCTATTAAACAAGCATCTGCGAAGATTTGACAATTTTAGATTCAATGAATCTTTATAATGGCAAACATCTGCTCTAAAAAATAGAAGTATGTGATCTGTGAATAAGATTTAAACAAGAAAACAATCAACCACAATTATAGGAAAACAGAGGACCTGCTTGCTTTCAAAGAAGTTATGACAACGAAAGTTTGCTGTTTACTTTTCTACTTGCTTTCATGTTGAATTTATTTTAAAATTGTTACACGGTCTTGGGTAGAACTTACCCCAAAAGCTAGCTATTAAGGTGAGGTTGCCCTCACGCTTATATGCTTAATATTACTTTAGCATTCAGGTGATGTAGGACTTCGCTTCACACCCTCCCTATCCATTCCTCAGTACTCCAACTCTAATACCATGTTACACGGTCTTGGGGCCCATTTCCTAAAAGTCTCTCCGTAAGCATTTGGTATTATGTCCCCATCTGGTTTCCTCTCTGTTTGGTTGTTTGCTTCTCCTTTTGTTTGGTTCTTTGTTTGTCTCTCCACATGCAAGTCGGGGTTGCACATGAGGGAGGGTGTTATATAGCTTGCTATATATTGTTGGGCCCATTTCCTAATAGCTTAGGCTTTCGGGAAAATTGGTAACTTAACAAAAGTTTCCATAATTATAGAAACATATGAATAATAAATATGATATGAATTTTTGGTCCATCAAGTCATCTTCTTCAGGCCCACCAAGGTTCCACTGAGAAAGCTGAGTAAATAAGATAATGACTTCTTGTTTGTATTACAAATATATGAATTCTCCTCATCTATCATCAATTTTTACAACTGCTGACTACTGTTGGCACCAGTGATACTTGCGGGTATGCGTTTCTTTATCATCTCATACAATGGGAACCATGGGAGAAGCTAGGATTCTTGGCAAGAGGACACTTTTTAAATGTATGTGTGTGTGTTTGTGTGTGTGTGCGTGCGCGCGCGCGCGCGTGTGTGAGAGAGAGAGAGAGAGAGTGAGAGATAGGTTGTGAAAGAAAGTTCCCTCGCAATAGGCCCTCCCAAATTTCTTTATATTAATCGAGAGAGGTAAACCAACCTTATTTTGAGTCTTAGGTAAGAGAGAGAGGAGAGAGCCTAGTTCTCTGAGAATTGTGTGAGAGCATGAAGAAAATTTGCTACTCTAGTAAGCTAGAGAGAGAGAAGCAAAATAATGAATGTTAGGGAGCAAAATGCCGGTGTGCTGACAACAAACATAGACAAGGAAAAAAAGTTGCAGATTTGAGAGCGAAAGGAGCATAAAGAGAAACTAAAAGGAATGAGGTGCAAAAACACAAGTTAACCATTAAACTTAAGTCACTTCTCTTAAAAAACAAGACAAATGTATAGAGCCCAGTGGGCAACCAGGATGTGGGGGTAATGGGCAGGTGGGTGTTACGAGAAAGTGAGATTTGGACATCTTGAAAAAAAATTCTGAGCCATGAGCTGAGTAGTTTCTAAACCTACTTAAGGACAAGCCCAAAGGAATTTGATGCACCAGTTTTAAAGAAGAAACTGAATTTGAAGGAATGTCATAGAAATTCTGTGGTTGAAAACCAAGCCAAAACAGGGCTCCATCAATAATATGACAAAACCTAATCTGACTGACCACTGCTCCAGTAACAATTGTAAGGAAATGTTATGTTAATATTCTGTGTTACATGAACCCTTCTACTTCCTCAGTGTACCCATGTCAACCGGATATAACAAGGATAAGGGTGTAGGATACAACAATGATTGAGACTCCCATTTTTTGGAGACCCCCACAACCCCTTTTGAATCTCCACCATTGATGGTGTGGGCCCCCACACATACATGAGTGGATCCCATACATACATCAATGGTGGAGATCCAAAGGGGGTTGTGGGGGTCTTCAAAAATGCGAGTCTCAAGCATTTTTCGTGTAGGATATCTATCCACCACCCATACCTAATTTAGACACTTGGATCGTCTTAATTTATATGATGTAAGAAGACATTCACATTTACCAGTAAAGAAACATTTATAGCTCCTCACATGAAGATATATAAATTGCATATTTTTTTCTAAATCCCATTTAATTTGAAATGCATTTCCAAATATTATATAATATACAATATATTAAGTGTTTAAGATGTGTCTCTGTACCCATACCCAACTTTTTTCATACATATCCACCCCAAGATTTGGGTTCATAAATTGACACTTGGACACACATCCACCGCACCAGCACCTAGACCAATTACTCGTACTAAGTCCATGTAACAAAGCTCTGATATTATAAAAAAGACAGAGAGATTACTGTAAGATTATCATAATAAGAAAATAAGACAATTGCCTTGTAAGTTTGCACTTTGAAGATAAGCTCCAGCTAATAAAGCACCACGAAGATTTGCCCCCGTGAATTCACATCTTCCCTAGGCAAGAAAAAATCAATAAGGTGGCAATCCATATAAAAGTAAATACTATCCAAAAATGATGGATGAAGATTACTACAAAATTTAAGCAACATGTACAAACAAAAGCAAAATTAGCATTTTGTCATTCCTTACTCGCGCAAAGTTGCATTGTGGAAAATGGAACCCTCAGCATCAACATCCTGCAAGAAAGGTTAAAAAATGATTCAATGATCAAATGCACATGGAGACTACAAGGAACAAGGTTTCGTTTTGTTTCCATCGAAACGACTGAAACCTTTTTGTTTGCTACAAAACTGAAACAAAATGTTAGTGGAATAGCAAAATTTCAATGTTTCCACTGAAATACACAGAAACGCACAGAAACAATTAGTTGTTTCAAAACCTATTAGTAATATCAGAAAAAGGACTTTTCTAGTTTCCTCTTTTTATCAAGAAAAAAAATTAATAAGAACAAAGAAAAATATTAAATATTTATTAGGGAATCTGAGGAACTACAAAAGAGATGAGGAAAGATAGAGAGAAGATAATTCAAGCATTACGAAGTCACTTTCTTTCCTTATTGCTGCAAAGTACTTTTTTTTATAAAGTTGTCACTGGTAATTTTTTATCCCTACTGGTAATTATAGAGGAATTAAGCTAATGTGTCATATGATGAAAGTGTGGGAGAAGGTGATGGAACGCCGATTGCGAGACATAACAGAGGTGTCAGAGAATCAATTTGGGTTTATGCCTTGTAGGTCAACAATGGAAGCGATTTATCTTTTGAGGAGAGTAATAGAAAAGTATAAAGAAAATAAAAGAAAAGAGACATTCATATGGTGTTTATCGACCTTGAGAAAGCATATGACAGAGTGCCCCGAGATATAATATGGTGGGCGTTAGAGAAGAAAGGGGTGACAAAAGGCTACATTGACGTGATTAGGGACATGTATGAAGGGGTGGTGACCACTATTAGATCGCCAGCTGGAGAAACAAATGAATTTCCTATCACTGCAGGGTTACACCAAGGATCTACCTTAAGTCCTTATCTTTTTGCTTTAGTTATGGACGAGTTGACGATAAATATTCAGGATGACGTGCCATGGTGTATGCTTTTTGCAGACGATATTGTGTTAGTGGATAAGACTAGAGAAGGAGTTAACACAAAGTTGGAGATCTGGAGAAAAGCTCTTGAATCTAAAGGATTTCGGATAAGCAGAACTAAGACAGAGTACATGGAGTGTAAATTTAGTAACAGTAACAATGAAAACAGAGGAGAAGTGAAGATTGAGAACCAAGAACTGCCTAAGAGTGAACATTTTCTGCACAGAGTAAACTGCTATATCAAGGTTTCTCAGCCAGGAGTTTAGGAGAGGTAAAACAAATACCAACCACTTTGCAAGCTTCCTAGAGCATAACTGGAATTTAGAAGGGGTTACACAAATATTAACCGCTTTGAAGTCTTCCTTAGAGCAGAACTGTAACCCACTTTAGAAAGCTAGTAAGAACACAAAGGCGAATAATCTTACAACAATATTTATCAACCAGTTTGTAAAATACAGGAGTTATTGTTTGAAAAGGAAGAGTAATGAAGGAAAATGATAAATGAGGTAAAGAAGAGATTTCATGCTGTCAAGGTAAAAACACAACTCATAAGGACCTAAGTAGCACGGACACTGATACGGATGTAGACACAGACACGGATGCGGATACGGGGACATGGCGATTTCAAAAATATGGGGACACGGACACGTACACGGCAATAAAATATGGTTTCATATATTTTTATTTGCTATCTAGATTAATATTACATCCACAAACAATCAATATTAACAAAAACTAATTCTAATTTTATTTTTTTTATTCAAAAAAAACTTTACACTTACAGTTTATATCTTTTTTTATGAATGATCTATTAAGTATTTAAATTTAAGAAAAAAAATAATAAACATTCAATATTTATCAAAAGCACTAAATAAAATGGGAGAAAAGACAATTTGGCATGTTCCTAGTGTGTCCCCGAAGTGTCTCCGGCGTGTCCCTTGAAAATAAATTACTTATAAGGGGACAAGCCATGTGGTTGATAGTGGCAATTGCAATGGAGACTCAACATCACCCAAACCCTTCATCCCCCAAATCTGATTCGCATCACCCACTTCACTCCAGATCTGATTGACAATGGAAACCCAAGATCTAATTGCATTTCTAGCCTGCAATGAATGATCCTTTGAGATCTGATCAACAATGGGTTAAGGTGAGGCATCAGTGAGAGAGAGGACAAGAAATAAGATAGCAGAGAGGTAGAGGAGTCAAAGGTACGAGACACAGTTGTAGAGAGGTAGCGGCAATGGTTGAAGGAAAAAGGCAAAAACTGGGTAGGGGTCACCTAAGGTTAGGATTGGGTAGAGAAAGGGTAAAATAGTAATTTTCTCAAGATGAAGAAAGGCAAAAAAGTACTTAACATTATCTGTTGGCTCGGTTAAGATGGCAATTATCGGAAGAAAGTAACTATGCCAAGAGTGTGGGGCTAACTATAATTTCTTATAACCTCAAAGGAAGTCATTGTAATTTACCCCCAAAAATTAAAATTAATATGCAACTCTTCAAAACCAATAATAACCATTTACAACAGAAATAATGCATAAACAACATTGGAGCAAACCTTAAATTTCGCACATTGAAGGTTTGCACGTGAGAAGAATACATTTTTAAGACATGCATAACTGAAGTCCACAAAAGACAGGTCCTGCATATAAACAAAACATGTCAAGAGGAGTAGTATCTCATTGTAGTTTTTATCTTACATCTTTAAACCTCGTAGAGGAGTTCTCAAGAAAAGGATGAGGAACAAATGGTCATACGCCAGTGACAAACAAACTCATTTCAAGTATTCCTTCAGAAAACCTAAATAGACAGCTTTTTATTCTTTCACCCAACCTAGCAAAATGAGTTTCAAAGTAATTACATCTTTTAACATAATCTTACAATTTGCAATTCAATTCATGATTTGATTCCCGATTTATGCAGAGTCAATACAAATCTATGAGTGAATATATTATGGGATACAATCTATGGGGAATCGCACGATTCACAATTGATTTACGATTCGATTTACTTTTTACAATACATGCAATTCTTGAAATTATTGTGTCCGACAGATTGTGACCATTTTTACCTCTTTGTTTTAGTGAAAATGACATAATATAACTTCTAAGAGTGTTTAGTACGAAAATAACCAATATCTATACATAATTTGTTGTTATTTCAGTGATCAAAGAGTTTTTCATAAGATTCAAATCACAACTAGTCAGCCCGAACATGTTCTTAACCTTTTTTCCACATTTTTTTTAACTTTTACTCAAAAAAAATATCATAATACATCTTCTAAGATTGTTTAAGATTAAAGTGAATTACTCACATGAATTAGCAATTGTTATGTTAGTGAAATAAATATAGTTCAAATTGTTCAATATTACATGGGTCAGGTTAGTTAAACTAGTTCCACAATCTTCTTTTTTTAAACAATAAACATATGCACCTTTTAAAGTGTAATAGATTTATAAAAATAAAAATAAATAAATAAAAAAAGATCCCACTTAATCCTTTCTTATTTATTATTATAAGAAATATAAGGTTCCTAAGTCCATTTTTTGAATGTCGAGAGATAACATAATTATTTTTGAATAATTTTATGGTTGGTGGAACCCATATCTCTTTTTATGAAGGCAACGTCTTCCTAATTAGATGGTGTAATCATGTCCTATGTTACATGGACTCGGGTACGGGTGTCGGGTGCGGGTATGTATCTAGAGGTCGGACTCATCAAATCATAAATTTAAGGATACGCGGACTCGGCAAAAAAATGTCATATTTTTATATTTTTAATCTAATATGTGAGATAAAATGGTATTATATTTAACTTATAGTGTCAAAATGACATTTATAGCAATTGTACAACAATATGTACATATAGTAATAGTGTTATATACAATTATATAAGAAGTATCCGTTGAAAAGTATCCGACACATATCTCATACCCTTGTCCGAGTGTCGGGTGTCCGACACGGGTATTTGATTTATTTTGAAGAGTCCATGTAACATAGATCATGTCCTTGCATAAGAATTATTTTATAACATGTGCCAAAATCAATTTATTTCTTCTTCTTTTTCATATATGCGATTGTTTAATATCATTTAATACAATTTCTTCTAAATTTTAATGATTCTCCATTCGATTCGATTCACAATTCGCAAAATTAGGATTTTAATTCACAATACAATTCTCAATTTGACAACTGCCACAACAAAACAAGCAGTTGGTCCAGACTATCTGTAGCATAATCACTGCTAGGAACTATGTTCATGCATGCACGAATGTGCAGAGTAGCTGATGGCAACATAACCAATTCCTTTAAGAACCAAAATCTAGCTAGCAGAAATATCCATAAGAACCAAAATCTAGTAAGGAATATTACCAGCTTAGAAAGATCAAGGCCAGAAAGGTTCACTCCTCGAAACTTGACTTTTTCAAATTGTATGCATTTAATTATATCAGTACGTGTCAATTCAGTATCCAACTCCTCATTATCCTTCCTCTTATCCAAAACAGCATTGATTCCATCTATTAATCCCTGGAATCAAACATAAAAGAACTCATTAAAATAGACAACAGTTGACCAAGTAGATACACACAAACAGTAGTCTCTCATGAAGAGATCCCAAAATGTTTTATTTGAGAAAAACCAAAAACATAAAAAAGAGGAAAAGAAATATGATTATATTGTATGACACTTTTGCATACATCAACAAGCATATGGATTGCATCTTATTCAGGCATGTCCAAGAAAATATAATATGAAATTTCATTACAGAAATAGCCTTGACAGTGTTGAGTTTGAAGAATCATTGATCTTAAAAAACTCCTATTAAGGCCTCGTTTGGGAACTGCCTCTTTTAGCCTAAAAGTCAAAAAGTTACTAATAAAATCAAAAAGCCAACAACCTATACTAAAAAGTCAAAGATTCTATTTTCTCTCTACTTTTTGCAAATCTTTTCGTAAAAAGTCAAAAAGTCATCCCAAACATACTAGTTTTTTTTAGCTCATATTTTAGCCAAATAGTCAAAAAGTTACTAAATTAGTCTGTTCCCAAACAAGGCCTAAGAACCAAAATTTAAGAGGGTAAATTACAAATACACCCCCTAAGGTTTTCTTAAAATACAGATTGCCCCCTGTGATTTGAAAAATTACGAATACCCCCTTGTCATAATTTTTTATTTAACAGAATTAATTGAAAAAATGAAATTCATAATTGCTCTCCTATACAATAATAAAATTACTTAAATTATTAATTGAAACATATTTCTAACATCATTAAAAACTGTTAATTGACTTGATAATGTATTAATAAAAGGGGCAATTTGTCATGAAATTAGAAACCTCAGGGAGTGGAATGTAATTTTTAAAATCATAGGGGGCGATTTGTATTTTAATCAAACGTCAGGGGTGTATTTGTAATTTATCCAATTTAAGAAGTACATCAACAAAGGTGTATACGAGTAAAATATCAAAAGAAAAAGAGCTTCGAGCGCATGATAATGTATGGTTCCAAAATTGTTTGCAGAGATCTCTACAATGGCAATTGAGCTGCTATTTGCCCCCACCTATTTACTTTGAACCCCCTATTTCTTTGAATCCCCCACACCCCAAAATTGATCCCCTCTCTTTTTTCTTCGAGCAACCACCATAATCCTAGCTCTACCGTTTGGATCCCACCATTGCAACCTTACTTCGCCAAACCCCCAGCCCTCCTCTTCCTCCAGCGACCCTCTTTCAGTCCTCCCCCACGCCTGACAAACCTCCCCAGTCCTCCTCTCCCCCTCCAACTATTCTCTCCCAACCCTTTTCCCCCTTTCCCTCCACTCCACTACCGGCTCAACCACCTCCTCACCATCGCCGTCACAACCTCTCATCCCATCCCATCTCATATCCTACTTCTTCTTCTCTCTCTAAAAACTACCAAACCTACCGTCACCACTGCAACCCTCCTTCTACAAAGATCTTCTCCAACCCATCAGAGAGGAGCTTCTCGTCGAAGACAACTGCAGCGGCAAAGCTTCAAATCAGAGCTTGAAATCCTAGATCGAAGCTTTGAATCTGGTTTGAGGAGGGGAGGGGAGGGGAGGGGAGGGACAGGGGAAGCGGCCAAAACTGGTGGGGGAGGTGGCCCAAGCTAGTGGGGGCGAGTGGGGTTTGAGTTAGGGTTGGGGAGGTTAAGGTTGGGGAGGTTAAGGATGGGGACAATATGGGAAATTCACATTAAGGTAAAATTGTAATTAAAAAATAAATAAAAGGGATGAGGGGTCCAAAGTAAATAGTGGGGGTTCTATTAGCAACTCCCACTTCTTATTTGTGTCAAACTTTTCAATTCACTCTCACTCCCCATCCGAGTCTTGTTTGCCCATGGACTAGGGCTTCCTATATTGCAATGTATCAAAATATATCAGTTCCCTTCCAAAGATACAGAACTTCTCAAGTTGGCATTCTTTGACAAACTGAAGTTCAGGAAAATCCACCAAAACTAGACCTTTTTCACATAGAATGGAGAATAATTATATAATACGATATGGATATGAAGATAACAAATAAAAAAGTAACAACATGAGAAAATAACAAAAGAGATGAAGGAAAAGGAAGAAAGAAAGCTTAAAAATCTGGCAATCATCATTGTTCCATTGCCTAGACAATCAGAGGCAGCAAGAACATGCCATCAATTAGATGCATTCACTTGGTTAAATGACCTTCAAACAATGCTGAGAATAAAGCTATACAACCAATGCATAATGGATAATTTCCATATTGAAGACAGAATGGCTTACAAGAAGCTGATAATATTCTGCCTCCCGTAGAAGCTCTGAATATTCAGCATCTTTCAGTGTGGGAACAACACCATCCCTCAACCAATTCAAAACATGACGAAAATGTTTACCATCCCTATCAACAAAGACATACCCCTGCAAGAATCCCATATGAACAAAGAATTCATTCATTTTCACATAAATGGAGGAAGATGTATCCATACAGTTATTTAATTCTACAGGATATTAACACCCCTTTCTATAAAATTAAGTCACTATCAAAACCCTTTATAATTTATTTACACACGAACCTCAAAAATAGAAATCTAGCATGAGCATCCTAGAAGATTAGAGCGATAAAATAAAGTCTGGTGCACTGTGTTGCAATTTACAAGTGACACATGAAAATGACAATGGCTATTCTTGTTTTCCCTGAGTTAGCAAAAAACAAAACAAAGGCAATTCTAGAGAATATTAAAGCATCGCTTTGAAGTTTAGCTAAACTGCCATGTCTAGCTTCACACTAAGGTGCCATTTGGTAACGTCTCCAATTTATTGTTTTAGTTTACTAAAAACATTAAAATGTTTTATGTTTATTTTTGGTAAAAATGAAAGCAAAAACATGTTTGGTACACATGAGTTTTAAAATTTTGTTTTGAAAACAAGTGAAAGGGGTGGCTAGCAGGAGGTGTGATATGGTTGTTATGTTTTAGAACCATAAGAGTTGGTTAGAGTTAGTTGGGTTTTTTATTCTATAATAGATGGTTAGGCCCCTCTAGTATTCGGTTTATGATATTTTGATATTAAATATTTCAGAGCTTGAGAGCTCTTGTACCCATTTTGGGATTTTCTCTCTCTAATGAAATTCATTTCTTGATTAGGCTCCATCAAGGTGGTGGCCGAAAGTGGTTATCAGTAGTCGCTTGTTATAGCCAGATGTGGATATTGGCCGCACAAATGTGGTGATTGGAGGTTGTATGGCAATGGCTTGTTATCGGCCGCCAAAGGTGGAGGACGAAGGTGGTTGCTAATGATCAGAGATGGAGGTCAACCGCCAGAGGTAGATTCCGGCAAAAGGTGGTGGCCAAAGGCAGTTGTTGTCAATGGTAGCTGAAGGTGGTTGTTAGAGGAGGCCATCGTTGATAGTGACTAGAGGTGGTGATGAAAAGCAATGGGTGGTGGCCAGAGGGGTAGGAAAAAAAAATTCTTAAACAAGTGAAGTGGTTACAAAAATTTAGTAAATTGTGTAAACTGTTTACAAGTTTTTAAAGATGAAAATACATGCTAAATGAGTTTTTGTTTATAGTTTTCAAAATTTTTGTAAATATAAACAAAAAAACTATAAACATGTTACCAAATAAGCCCTAAACTAGCACATGGCTAAATTTCATCATCCACCATCCACAGAGTGTAAATGAATTTTGGCGACGATACCCAAGGGTTAATCCAAACAGCATACAGTGGAAAACTACAAAAGCTGTGTTTAGTAGAGAGGATGGAAAGGAAGAAAAAGGGAAGGAAAGAAGGTAGGAAAGTAGGTACTTTAGGGAATGGATTGGATTTTCTTTCTTCGCAAAAGGAAGCGGAGAATGATAGTGTAACATAGAGGGCTTTGCACCTTTTAAAAACACACCAAGGGACCAACATTTTTTCTCCCCCCAATCTGCCCACTTTGGGACAAATGGGCATTGGTGGGCCCAAGAGGAAAGGGGATCCTCCCTTCTCTCCTCCCATACCAAATGGAGGAAACCCTCCCTTCTTTCCCTTCACCCCCCACCATTTTCTTTCCTCCCCTCTTTCCAGCCTACCAATCCTGGCATAAAAAATTGTCGGAATAATAATGAAAACAAGCATACAGAGTGTTTTTATCCTTTGTGTATACCTTCTCAGAATCGTGACAGACAGTGTGACGTCCACTGAACATTGCAGCAAGCATTGAATCGGGCTCCCTTTGAGTTAATGTGTCAACGGTCGTGCAAAACTTTTTTCCCCCTTTGAAATTGAGACACAATGCACACAAAAATTCAGCAGCTATGAACATAACTAGGTTATTCTATAATTCTATTATTCTATCCTGTCAAGGGTTATATTATATTCAGTTGAATTAAATAAATTCATATCATTTCTTACAACAACATCCATATCAATTTAAGTTTTCCCTCCTCCTTAGCATTTCTATTAATAATGATCATGTTACTCTTCCTTGTCATTACAACTACAAACTATGAAGCACGGACACGGATACGGACACGGACACGGCGGGGGACACGGCGAATTTTTTATTTATTTTTTAATTTTTATGTGTTATGTAGATTCATATTACATTCATCCTAAATCAAAATTAACAAACACTAACATAGTAACATTAATTCAATAAATATAAGAGAGGTAAAAGATTTAACATCCAATAATAAATATAAGGGGAAAACATTCAACATCCAATAATATTCTTCACATAAGCACATTGAAAAGTATAGTTCCCTCCTCTTGCACCAGATTTTTCTAATCTAGTCACATATTTCCACAATGGCTTATCATCTTCAGCATCAAATGCAGATTGTGTGTTACTGGCAGAATTTGAGCTAGATATTTTTCCTATAAATTATCACCATTATAAATTAACATTAACATTAGAATGATTTTAAAAAAAAAAAATGAGAACCATTATAAATTAACATCAACATTAACATTATATATAAATTATAACCATTATGTATATAAACCTATAATTTTTTTAGATATATATACGTACATATTAACATATAATTACAAACAAAAAAAAAAAGTTTTATATATACATATATATTAACATATAATTACAAACAAAATAAAATAAAATAAAATAAAATCTTGCATATATATTTATATATATAAACGTATTAAAAAATAAAAATAAAAATCTAAATCTAACTCAGTCAAGAGCACTGAGCTGAGCAGAGAGCAAAGAGAAAAACAGAAAGAGAGCGAAAGAGAAAGAGAGAGAGAGAGAGAGGGGGGGCTTACCTTCGAAGTCGTCTGGATCGCAGGTCTGAGACAGAGACTAAGACGAGTGGAGATTGAGGCAGACGAGTGGATCGATTGAGACAGAGACTAAGACGAGTGGATCGGAGGGCTTTGATTGACTTCGGAGGGTTTCGATCGACTTCAACAGAGAGACAGGGTCTTCGACTGAGAGAGAGAGGTCTTCGCAAGGTCTGACTGACTTCCTTCACTCTTTCTTTGTTCGATTTAGGGCTTTTACACATGTTTTTTTATTTATTTTTTATTTTTTAAATATTACACTTTGACCCCAAATAAATATAATAAATTTAAAACTGAGCCCCGCCGTGTCCCATGGCGTGTCCCAAAATGGACACGCGTGTCCCTGCCGTGTCCCCTTCCAAAAAAATCATTAAATTAAAGGGACACGCCAGTACGTGTCCCCGGCGTGTCCGCGTGTCGGACACTGCCACGACACTGATTTTGAAGTGTCCATGCTTCATAGACTACAAATCATTGTTGTACATGACCAAATCATCTTAATTTGTTATCTTATCTTCAATAGGTTCTACTTTCACCAATGTATTCATTTGCATCTTTTATTATCTTACTACACATCCATGTTAGCATTCTTGTCTCAACTATACTCATTTTATTAATGTATTGTTTCTTAGTTGTTCAACATTTTGTCTCATAAAGCATCATCAGGCTTATAATCATTCCATAAAAATATTGGATAAATTACCAATAAATCCTACTTTTGGGACTTAATATCCATTATGTCCTATTGATAAATTTATCAATATCTCTTATTTTTATGAATAAATTTACAGTGATAAATCTATCATTCAGGACCAGTAGGTAAATAAGTTTAGTTAATAAGACTGATTGGTAAGTATCCTTGAAATTTTCCCTTCAATTTTGTTGTTAATCATCAATCGCATAGTATCCTAGAGACACCCCTCCACTTGAGTGAAACCTGCTTTAATTTTATGGCTCACATCTTCTCCAACCTCTTTATCCTTATTAATGACCAAACTTGAACAATGAAATTGTTCATTCACTATTTGCTATCTCTTGATTTTTGACATTGACTTCTCTGCAATATTTATATATTCAATTTTAGTCCTCCAAATTTCTAATATAGCATTAACTACTAGTCTTCAAAATTCTAATTTAGCTTCAACTCCTCTTTTAGCTTCATTTCATCCACTACGACATCATCATTTGCAAACAACATGCCACCATGGTCATGAAACTAAATGTGTCTTGTCAATTTAGTGACACAAATGTTTACATATGTGTGTACTTGTAGTGAGAGAAAGTTAACGAATGCAATGAATTGAAACAGGAGTGAAAATCAGGCATTGAAACCAGCCAATTGGTACCAAATTAAGAAGACTAGGGCATTTCTGGAGCTGAAAATTTCTTTTGATAGATCATAGTTTCAATTACAAATCAATAAAATTAGGGTTTTCGATTCCAATATCATAAATTAAGAAGTTAATTCCATATTAAAGAGAGTGTTCACATGAAAATTCAACAAGAAAGAAAGAGGGAGAGATCGAGGGTTGCTCACCGATGTTGAGACGGACCAAGGAAGAAGATACATCGGAGAGCATCGTCATGCGTAAGAGGAAAGGGGACGATGTTGTGATATAGTCACGGTCGGTTTCACAAAATTACGTTCTTCGGGTATTTATACCATGGAAATGATCATTCAGTAAAAGACAACTTTGTTTTGTTAATTGGGAATAATCATTTTGGGATTTAGTTTTTTTTTTTTTTTAAACGTATATAAAAAATAAATAAACAAAGAAATGATATGATTTAAATTAGAAAAAAAATTAAAAAGTCAAAAGTTACTAAACTATTTAAGTCACATTATCTTATTTAAGTCACATCACCTCTCTATCATATCACTTTAAACTCAATCCATATTTCATAAAAAATCAAAAAGTACACTTATTTAAAACATCACAAACAATCCTTAAGTTAATAGAAGTTAACTTTTTTTAAGTTCAGTCAGTTTTATTGACTTATTATTAGATCATATTTTTTCTCTATTTTTTATGTTTTTTCCCTAATAAACAGTTGATAAACCATTTCCCAAAACAATCCTTACAAATATTTCATTGAGATTTGGAAAATATATTTTGGTAAATTACAGTTTGTCTCTTTTATTTTTATCATTTTTAATTTTTTTTCTTCACTTTAATCGTTCATATTTCAACCTCATTCTCTTGAATAAACAAAGGAACGCTAAATTTTTGTAAGTCTGTTGGCTACATATTTTGTATAAGCCAATTACAATTCGACGCGTGGCAGAATAAGGGTAATACCACTACTAAAAATCGGACTTTTTGCGACGGTCTCAAACGTCGCAAAAGGTCCATATATCGTCGCAAAAGACTTTTTGCGACGGAGCAGCGACGGAAAATGGAGGGTGGCAGAAAGGGGCATGACAAAAAATATTTGCGACGATTTCGCTTGACACAAAAAAAGGGGAAAAAATGACATTTTCAGTGACGATGTTGATTGCCGTCGCAAAAAATCTTTTTTGGGACGGTATTTGCCGTCGCAAAAAGTATTATTAGCGATGGTCTAAGGCGTCGCCAAAAAAGTAGTATTAAGTTAATACTGTATTGGCAACAGTTTAAACCGTCGCAAAAGATTTATTTACGACAGTTGAAACCGTCGCAAAAGATTAGAACTAATACATATATGCGATAGGTTAACCCGTCGCAAATAAAATATAAGAAAATGAGAATTACATTAGCGGCGGTTTATTATTGTTGCAATAAAATTATTTTTTATAAAATCATATTTTATTAAATATTTCCTATACAAACTATTAATATTTTTAAAAATACATCCACATCCACATCCAAATTCACATTCAAAAAATCATATACCAAGAATAATATATGTACTTTGTAACAATTGTCAATCAAATATTATTTACAAAAATATATAAAATAACCTCTAACAATACTAATAATTTTTGAAATTCAAGAACTCAAATTTTTAGTATCGACAATAGAAATAAAAAAATAAAAACAGACATAATGTAGCTTGTTTTGATATCAATAATAAGCTCCCATATCGATATGCGAAGATATCACGCACTCAAAAGGTTTGCATCTGCAAAAAGAAACAAAAAAGAAAAAAAATCATCATTTACAACATAATTATTTTCAAGTTTACAGAAAATGTAAAACATTTGATAATTTTTTTTAAAAATAAATAAATAAATAAGACTGTAAACTCTAATATCGATATGCGAAGATATCATCACGTATGCAAAAGGGTTGCACCTGCAAAAATGCACCTGAAAAAAAAAATCAAAAAAAAAAAATCATTTACAATATAATTAATTTCAAGCTTACAGAAAATGTAAAACATTTAATGTTTTTTTCAAAAAAAAAATAAAAATAAATAAGATTGTAAACTCTAATATCGATATGTGAAAGTATCATCACGTACTCAAAAAGGTTGCACCTGAAAAAAAAAATCAAAAAAAAAAAATCATTTACAATATAATTAATTTCAAGCTTACAGAAAATGTAAAACATTTGATATTTATTTCAATAAATAAATAAATAAGATTGTAACATATACATGAATCGAGTACCACACAATGTATCTTCCCACAACTTCTCCAACTGTTCTTAGATGAAATTTATTTTTATTTTATCATAAATATAATTTTTTAAATTTATTCTATTTTTTTTTCATATTTACCACCTAAATTATAACACTATTTCTTATAGTGAATTTAAAATATACAATTAATAACATAACAACAGCAATATATATTCTAATACAATGGTTAAAATATAATTCATTCTAAATTATTTTTTATACTTTTCAATAAATTTTATGTTATTATTTAATTTTAAAATTACTTTTAATTATTTATTTAGCCTGCGCATCACACTGTTCATATACTAGTTCATATATAAGAATAAAGACTTTCACCCCCCCCAAAAAAAGTAAACCTAATTTTGAAAACTCCCCAAAATTATATATGAATACTGTTAAAGACTCTTCAACCATCACTCTTGATTTACCCACCCACACTAATGTGGCCGGGATTGAGTCTAAATTAGTTGACTTCCATACAAATCAACAATTAATATGCAACACGCAACACTCAACATCATTCCCACAACTTCTCCAACTGTTCTTAGATGAAATTTATTTTTATTTTATCATAAATATAATTTTCTAAAGTTATTCTATTTTTTTTTCATATTTACCAACTAAATTATAACACTATTTCTTATTGTGAATTTAAAATATACAATTAATAACATAACAACAGCAATATATATTCTAATACAATGGTTAAAATATAATTCATTCTAAATTATTTTTTATACTTTTAAATAAATTTTATGTTATTATTTAATTTTAAAATTACTTTTAATTATTTATTTAGCCTGCGCATCACACTGTTCATACACTAGTTCATATATAAGAATAAAGACTTTCACCCCCCAAAAAGAGTAAACCTAATTTTGAAAACTCTCCAAAATTATATATGAATACTGTTAAAGACTCTTTAACCATCACTCTTGATTTACCCACCCACACTAATGTGGCCGGGATTGAGTCTAAATTAGTTGACTTCCATACAAATCAACAATTAATATGCAACACTCAACATCATTAGAGATATATTTATTTAAGAATGGTGTTTCAAGTGTCACAAACATTATCCCACATTGCCACAAATCTATCCATGCCACACTATTTTGCCACAAACCTATCCATGCCATCAATTTAACTTCTCTGCCAATACTTTCCTACCATGATGAGCATTAGATGCACTCACAATTGGCACTTCATTCAAGCAAGGGATGAGATGGGATCAGTGTTGGTACTTACCTTTTTTCCGGGGTGATGATTCCTGCAACATGACTGCTCTTCATCTTCAGCATCACCACCTACAAATCTCACAAAACTTGCCATGGTCAACAATAAAAAAAGTAGATAAATTTAGGAGACCATGGATACTAGCATACTTTTTCTTTTTTTAGCTAGTACAAAGAAGTGAAAATAAGGGCATGATGCAATAACAGGAAGAAAATTCAAAATCTTCAACTTTTTCATGAACTTAAAAAGTTCGCATACACTTTCCCATTAATGGGAAGATGAGATTCCAACCTACAGTGACCAGTCATATGAGGGATTCATAATTTATAACATTTACACATTCTCCGCAGAGGCTGTGCTGAACATGGTTTTAGTGTCCTGCTAGACGACAGTTTCCTTGAAGCTCTTAGTCAACCAAATAGCAGTTTCCCTGAGAAACCTTCCCGGGTCCAAATGGCTTCAGTAACACTCCAAGCTCATTAAACCTTTCCTGCTGCAAGAGCTGTGCACTGAATTCGAGCAATCCTTCTAATGCCTCGGCACGTTGTTGGTATGATGAGGTGGCGAACCGACGCTGCCGAGAATCAGAAGATGAACGACTTGAAACAACAGTTGTTGGATTCTGCTCTGAGCATTCACTTCCACTTCTTGGAGCTACACGATTAGCATCAGCTTTGTATGGCTTGGCAAATGTCCTGTCTAGAATCTGGACTATACATTTGTCTTTTGTGATTGAACGGTCACCACTTGTTGGTGAGGTTGTACAGCAATGAGCAGATGTTGAAGAAGGTCTGTAGATGGAAAACATGGGTTCTTCAGAAGAGGCTATGGGGAATTCAATCACTCTGTCAATTCGCGGAGCATTGACAGAGACGTCTGGAGATCTGACACTGCTCAAGAGACCACCATTGGGATTATAAGGCGATTCAAATGTTGTAGCTCTAGTTGATAATGGAAGAGATGCTCTGCGAGTTGGTTGGAAAGGTTTGCTTGCTGGAGTATGCGTCACAGGAACCTGCAAATGTAAGTGTACCATTGAGAGTTTCTTAGCTTTTAAGACTAGTTTTGCATTTGATCTACAAAGCCAGAGCATTAGATCGAGTACAATATCTATGGTTTTTATTTTCTTTTCTTTTTTCCTTTTTTATAAAATTATGACCCACTACTTAATGGGCATAAAATATGGTCAACAAGAAGAA